GTTGTTTGCTTCACAATAAAAAAATAAATAAAAAAAACATCTTCAAAGTTGTGGGCATGTTCTGTAAATTAAATGATGCAAATCCTAAAAGAATTCATGTTAATTCTAGGTTGTGAGGCAACAAAACACGAAAAATGCCAAGGGGGCTGAATACTTTTGCAAGGCACTGTAAATCCATTAAGGCACAGTTATTTTGACGGATACAGTAGCTGGAGGCATTGAAAATTTCATAATGAGGCTGTGACAAGACTTATAAACCACCCTGTGGACAGCCAGCTGTCGGTGATGGATGGACATATGTCAGCTCTGGATTTTACACATCTATGAGAAGCGATCTGTGTGGCTGTCTGTGTGAGTTATAGCTGCCACTTAATATATCTGACACAATTTATTTTACAGCTCTCTCATCTCCATTACTTATCTCTCACTGTCTGCTACTGTTCGCTCTTTAACTACGCTTCTACTTTAAATGGGATTTTTTTGATCGGATCAAAAAGATTAAATTGTACACGATTATGTTGCTCTGTATCAACATTGGGCGTGACGAGTCACATCTCCTGCAGCTGTATTTGAATTGTCTTTTAATCTGCATATGTCCCTGCTGCTCGTTGCTCACACATGCATTTGGATTTTGTCCAGATGATGTAGGATTTAGATCATGATGTGACTCTATGCTCAGTATGTTTTCTACATCCAGCAGCGGTGTGCAGAATCCAATCAGAATCAGATAAAGACCTGGACAAGGCACAGTAACATTATTTTGTTCCTATTTGACTCCCTCCTCCCTCCTCACTCCTTCTTTTGTTCTCTTTTCCAACTCCCTGATTTTTTATTATCCCAAACTCTCCCTCTGAATCTCTCTGTCAGTTTTGAGGAGATCCTGGCTGAGAGCGATGGCGTGATGGTTGCCAGGGGCGACCTGGGGATCGAGATCCCGGCAGAGAAAGTCTTCATCGCCCAGAAGATGATGATTGGACGCTGCAACTCTGCCGGCAAGCCCGTTATCTGTGCCACACAGGTCAGGGACACAGGGCACATACACAAACACATGCTAGAAATGATAAAATATGCAGATTTAGACTCTTAACTACAGTGTTATCCAATCAAACGTCAAATGGGTCCAAGTAAACTAACATTAAACCTAACAGGCACACATTAACCTTGCACTCCTACATAATGTACTCACACAAACACACACTCACTTGTCCAATAAATTCATCCTCAAAGACACATTTTCTCTCTTTCACACCCCTCTCCCTTTACACACACACACAAACAGGCTCCCGCAGATATGTTGAGTCACAGTGCTGTATCTTGTTTATGCTACAGCTCCTGACTTAGAGTGACAGTGTTATAGCGGGTTTTGCTAGTCAAGACCCGAGCCCACAAACAACCCCCACACACATACACTAATCAGTATTAGCAGCAGCTTCTTAGCTACTACAAAAGTGTGGTCTCTACGGCAATACTGCAAGCTATTTTATTTTCCAACTGTCTGCTGTGCTTATTGACTCATAATACTGAGTCTCCAGCACGCCAATAATGATCTCGCAAACTCATACTCGCCTGCCTTAGTCTAAACGATCTCTCATTTCTCCTCCACTACTGTCCATCCATCCGGAAAGCCATTAGCTCCTCTCTTCATTGTCTCCCTAAAGCCTGTGTGCCTTGCATTACTTTCTCATCTAGGACAAAAAATGACATACAAAGTGGCTTATTTTTGATGGATTCATTGATCTAATCCCTTTACAGTCTTGTCATGGAGACCTTTTGGTTGTGGTTAAAAGACTAATGTGAAGCTGATGTTTTGTGTGTGTGTGTGTGTGTGTGTGTGTGTGTGTTTAGATGCTGGAAAGCATGGTGGCCCACCCACGACCAACCAGAGCAGAGGGCAGTGACGTCGCCAACGCCGTACTGGATGGAGCCGACTGTGTAATGTTATCTGGGGAGACCGCCAAGGGACTGTTTCCTGTGGAAGCAGTCGCAATGATGCACTCGGTGTGTGTTTCTGTGTGTGTATGATGTCCACTCTGTTACATCTGACTTAGTGCCCTCTGATAACCCCCCCCCACACACACACACACTCCCTTGTCTGTCGTTGTCTCTTAGATCTGCAGGGAGGCAGAGGCGGCCATTTTCCACCAGCAGCTGTTTGAGGAGTTGCGTCGCCTCACTCCTCTCTCCTCTGACCCCACAGAGGTCACAGCCATTGGAGCTGTAGAGTCCTCCTTCAAATGCTGTGCTGGGGCCATCATAGTCCTCACCACCAGTGGCAGG